ATTTATAAATATAGACTATTCTCTAATAGCTTTAATCTTGCTTTCCTTAACTTGAATTTCTTTAATAGATATTATATATCCCAAGAACTCAGTCTCTTAAACATAGAATTTATATTTCTTTAACTTAAGCTTTAATTCTGCTTTCCTTAGCTTCCTGAGTATTATCTTAATATACTGTACATGTTCTTTCTTAGTTTCCTTTATAAAGACCAAGATATTATCTAGATATATAATAATAATTACTTCTAGTAATTTTTCTAATACTTTATTAATAAATTATTGGAACAATACTGGTATATTAGTTAATCTAAATAGTATAACTAAATATTTAAAGTATCTGAATTATATCTGAAATACTGTCTTCCATTCTTTTTCTTAGCCTATTCATAAGGTGTTATAGATACTGACAATATTAAACTTAGTAAACTATTTTACTTCTCTAATCCTGTCCTAGATTTCTAATATAAGAGATAATAGATATCTATCTTTAATTATAATTATATTTAATAGTTAATAGTTAATATATAGTTATAACTTTTCTTCTTTCTTTAGAATAAATAGGACTCTATATTCTGTAGAAGATTTTAAAGATCTAATATATTCTTTTACTAGTTATTTATTAATATAATTCTTAAGTACTTATAGCTTCTTTTATAATATAATATATAGTTTCTTATATGCTACTTTCTTTTCTTCCTGAATAGATATAGTATAGTTATATAGTCTATAAGATAGTAATTCCAGTATTTATAGTTACTTAAATAGTTCTCTAAACTTCTAATATTTCTTAGATAGTCTTGACTGCTCTATAGAGATAGCCACTAGTTCTTAAGAATTAATATATTTTTATAGACTAAAGTCTTCTTCCTGAGATACTTCTATATCTTTTAGTAAAGAGTGCTATTTCTTTTCTAATTCACTATCTAGTATCATGATTTCAAGATATTTATTCTTATTCTCTAATATCTATTCAGTTATTTCTACTAACTACTCTTTTTCTGAGAGTCTGGTTACTGCTACTATTATAGCCTTTGCGGTATTTTCCTTTACAGTATTCTGGTTATATCTATTGATTCTTTCTCTACTATATACAGAATGTCCCATCGTGTCTTTAGTAAGGATTGGGATACTATATCCTGTATATGGTTCTGTTAGACAATAGTAATTATTTAGCTAAAGTGTTCTTTGCTTCTAGTTTATTATTGGATTATATCTCTCAAGCCAGAAAATTCTTAATACTATATTATACTTGTCTCCTAGAGATGTTATGTTGAAAGCTAAGTATTTAATATAAGCTCCAATAACTATAAAGACAGGTTCTGTTTTAACTATAATCTGACCAGTTCCCAATTTCTGGCTGTCTAGTTCTAGAATAGATATGACAACTTTCTTTAGTTATTCTATAATATTTATCTATTTCTGGTATTTAGGTATCATGAAGTTGTTTATTGCTTCTGAATTAATTATAGTTCTAGCAGGTATACCGCTAATTATAGTTATTATAGTAAGGTATTTTCCTTGTACTATGGCTATAAATTTAATATAGCTATAAGAGCTGTTTTAAGGCCAAAACTTTGCTATCTTCTTTTAGTTATAGTAATATAGATAGAGATCTTTAAAACAAATAATTTACAGAAGGCTCTTATAGCCTTGGTATATTAAAAAGTATAGACAGATATATATCTATAAGGAACATGCTTCTCTGTGTTCTTCTCCAGCTTATCCAGGCTGTATTGCACTGAGAGCTTGATAATATTCCTATCTGTCTCCTCTGTATATACTGTACTTATCCTTGTAATTATTGCAGTGCTGCCGGTATTCTTCCCAGTTTTTATAGTTTGGGTTGTTCCAGCACACATAATTCTAATATAGACACTGCTAAAACAGTCTTCTCAGTAGTCTTGAAAATTTCCTGGAATCTTCTATAATTTTATGGACTATATTATCTATCTAATATACAAGCTTGTCTTGTCTTCTCCAAATATATTATAACAATTGTAACCTTATTATTTATTAGCTTATAGGATTGTTAATCACTATCTATAGTATATTAAGAAGTTCTATAACTCTCTGGTATTTATTTTCCTGGTTCTCTTCTTGGGGATTTTCAGGTGTCTCGGGTATCTCAAGAATTTCCTCTATATTAGAATTATAGTCTATCTATTAAGTACTGTATTCTTTGTCTAAAGAATTAATTCTTTATAAAGCTTGATTTACAGTTCCTTATCTTGGAACAGGCTTGTTATAATAAACTCTATTATTAGATCTGTAATAATAAACTCTATTATCAGATCTATTCTTTCTATCCAGAATCTATTACTCAGTATTCTCAGGGCTGGCTATCCTTATAGCACTGAGTTATATAGGCTCTGTCTGGTCTTTTAGTATTCCAGTAATATTATATGCGCCTCTCTTTAAGATTGTGTTAAGCTAAGCTAGTTTCTTAAAATATACTGCTCTTAATTACTGTGGCTTCTTGTCTTGTTGTTGCTGTCATTTTTGCGGGCAGCTTCCTGTGAAATATCCTGGCTTTCCGCAGCTGTAATATAGTTATTCTTTTCTGTATCTGTCTCTTTTTTCCTGAGGAATATTGCTGCACTGTTATTGTTTGTTATTAGTATCTAATTCTATAAACTGGGGGTTATAGAGATTACTATATCTTCCACCTGTTTATTTATACTAGTCATTTAATTTATATTGGTTTTTTAGCTGATAATTATCTTTTCTTCAGGCTTCAGTATTTTACTTCTCTATGAGTTGCTTATGATAACAGTTATTTACTTTAATAGCAAAGTTAATTGCTTTATTAAGTGTTGCTAGTCTATTAATACATGTAAATTCATTCTTCATGTGTCTCTTTAGACTACTGATAAATATTAAGATATAGATCTTCTTGTTCTAATCAAGTCTTAAGATAATCTGCTAGTATTCTACTGTATAAATTAATATGCTATCTCTTTAGTATAGCTGTTTTAACTTCTGTTTAGCTACAGCTTCTATATTAATATCTCTAAAAGTATATTTAAGATGTTTCTATAGATTTCCTGAGTTAGTAAATAACTCTTGTGTTATAGTAGTCTATCTATCCAGTGCAACTTTATAATACTTTCTGATATAGGGTTTAAACCAATTCTATGCCACTCTATATAAGTAAGTAAATATAAATATAACTTTATTTACTTTATTAATTAGACTAGTTTAGTTCACGTGAATATATATATTTATTTATATTAAAAAGGCCTGCAACTTAGAGCAAGTCCTGTCAAAAGACTCAGCTTTTAGCAGTTTCATTTTTCTAATTGCACTTCTTGATACTGATATACTGATCTAAGTATTAAGCTAGGTAATATTATCTTAATATTTTTACTATTATTTTTCAGCTTCAGCGAGTCGCGCTTTAAGGGTTTTAATCTTAGTATTCTATTCTCTAGTATTATTGACCAGTTATTTAATGATACTTCTCATTTCAGTGATCTGATTCCTAAGACCAGGTGTCTTTTCTGGTTCAGAGTCAGTATTCACTGGCAGTATATTCTTAACCAGAATCTTCTGCTTGCTAGATCCTTATAAAGACATATTATTAATGTTTTAAGTTAATACAAGACTTAACTTATGTAGACTGGTAATTAATATATTATATCCAGGGATTTGATTAAGAGCTCCTAAGTATTAGCTGCCTTGTATTAAGTAATAACTTAACCTAATAATAAGACTTAACATCTCTGTAACTGCAAGCGACAAGTGTTCTGAATATAACTCTATCCAGGATTCACTAAGTAACCTAATCCAAGGTCTGAGAAATGTAACAAGGTCCTGTACATAGCTTAAGTCTAAAAGACCAGGCCTATTAAGTATGTATACCTAATAGTTAAGGAAGTGCAAACAAGTCGATTACTAACTTAATACTAAAGATATATCCTAAGTAACAATTGAAATTGATTATAGAGAGCTATCTAAGTACATGAATGAGTGTCCTTATATATCTATCCTTAGGGTATAGTGGTAACTGAGTTGGTATACCGGTGGTATACGTGTGGTATACGGTATACTGATCTGTATACCATTTGATGATCGGTTGTATACCATTTAGCGTGTCACGTGATGTCAGCTGTCTTGGTCTGACATAAGTAGCGCGGCGGGTGTATCTTAATCCCGGTGTTACCTCAGCCTATCATTCTGCCTCGTTTCTCCGCCTCTGATAAGGGCGCTAGACAAGGGTCTGTAACAGTCAGCTATATAAAAGTTTAATAACTGCTTTTTCTATACTAATTTTCCTAGTATTATTTGCTACTACTAAGCCTGTCTCACGTGGGCTTACGCGATTCTGCATTACTGCCTGTATGTAAAGTCTTAGACAACTTCCTACTCTTTCCTCCCTATACTTCTTGAATTGGACTAAGAACAACTAAAATCTATTCTTCTACTTTTATTATTAATTCATTATACTTTAACTGTATTGCACTATGTCCTTTTTTGAGGACCAGATATACAGTCAAGAAAGATTTTATCTTCAGTATATTACTACTATCAATAATAACTGGGAAAAGTATGGCTATAACAATGATAACCCCTTCTGGTACCAGGCATGACTATTTATGAAAAATATTTCTAGTCAGTATACCAAGTCTGACCTTGCTATAGACCTTTATAAATATGACTTGCGTGAACTATAGTATCTAATCATCCAGGGTGCCAAAATCACTGATATAGATTATCCCGCTCAGGATTATCTAGCAGGTTAAATTTTATATACCTGAGAAATAGACATGCTATCTCGCAGAGATATAAACTTAAAGGTTAAAGAGAAGGCATAGACCTTAAATAAAAAGATTTGGATTGATCTACTGTTCCTCACGCAGGAGATTCAAGTGGCCTGGAAGGCAGCCACAAAGTTATTAGTAAAATAGTGATATGATCTCAGCGCCTTTATAGCCTGCATCAGCTCATGGAGTATCTGTGACCCTGATCTGTGCATTTACGCCCTTTCCATTTTCAAGGATATGTTCGAGACGCGCAGGCCATTAGTTGCAATCAACAACAAACAGAACAATAGCTTACTGTCTATTGCTGACCTGCTACCAGCAGCAGTAGTCTGGTTTGAGCTATATACTTATAAGATTAAAAGTCTCTGTCTTTCAAGTCAGGACTTTAAGTCCTTGACTATTGGTAATCTCGCGGGAGAAGCACACATTGTCCCGGCCACTGGTTTTAGCACTTCAAGATGGCTCTTCTGGAGGCGACGCCTGGAGGAGATTAGCCAAAGTGACCATGCTGAGACGGCCGCTTTGGCACAGCGGGGGCTGAGGGTTATGCAGTCTTGGGGTGAGCGAATCTTAGCCAATGAAAACGAGAACGCCTAATATTGCGGTGATCATAGCAAGCTCGTTATACATGGTATTAGCCTAGTCTATTACACAAGCGGTGAGCGAGTAAAGGTTGCCTGTACCCTAGTACTCGGCCAGGTCAAACTTGACCTGGCATCCGAAGCCCCTGATTGGGTTTTGAGAGGTATTGTGTCTGTTGATTGCTACAAGTAATGACTGTATTTAGAATATCGAAGAGGTACCTCATTGGCAGCCAAAATACTATAGCCGTCTTTGGATATTGTACTTAATGTGGTGATCTAAACGTATTGGCCTAGACTTGCAAGGTATCATAGATCGTTAATTTTACAACAATACAGATTGAACTGAAGATGAAATAACTAGATATAACAAAGGGATACTATTACTCTGGCAATTAATTTGCTCTCTATTTGCTAATTGTTCGGAATGGCCTGGTTCATAACCAGTTAAGCGGCGAGGGTGGGGACTTGTAACTGAACACCTGCCATCCCTCCTTAGACTCGTTCTATCAACTGCCCAACCGATTGTATCCTTCCTCGCCGCGCGACGCCAATTCCAATTATGTTTTTTAAGCTGTTAGGGGACTCGCAATCTCAGAGAGTGTTCAAGTACAGAAGAGTCCTGTCTTTTGTCTAGGCGATACCACACCCTCGGGAAAAGCAAGTCCAGTTTCGGTCTCGAGTACGAATCGAGTAGACAGTTGTCGGATGGTTTTTCATAACCTGTTTCCCTCTGATTTTGTTGTGGGTTGGGTGGACGCGTCACCCACGGAAAACTATGCGGCTCGGCCCTACCCGCACCACTTAGATTCTTTTGGCTTCCCCTCCACCAAATGAGAGGGTACTGACACCGGACACCACGAGAAGGTAGAAATCCATCGTCCTAACTGCTTGACGATAGCAGTTACCCAGTGTGCTCGCCAGGGGCGAAGCCTTCAGGGGTTGGAGTTCGGTGATCGGCCAAGCCCCGTTGTCTCGTATAGATGTTGGAACATACGGACGTCCTGCGCGCCGCGTGTGGTGGTGGTGGTGGTGTGGTGGTGTGGTGATTGCAGATGGTTCGATCTCGCTTGGTGCTTTTTGACTCAAATACTTGCAAACCTGGACTTATATCTGTGCCAAACAAGCATCACGCGGAAATCGGGTTGAAGGAATGGAGAAACAGCGAAATGGCTTATGTTGCCAATGTTGCTTATGTTGCTTATGTTGCTTATGTTGCTTATGGGGCTTATGTGGCTTATGTGGCTTATGTGGCTTATGTGGCTTGTGTGGTTTATCCTAATATAGTTAGACCTCGCCGTCGGGTGCCAGCTCAGCGTGGTCTAAAAAAACCTCGGCGAGGTCTAAAATTCTGCCACCTCTACCACCGCCTTTTTAGACCACGATGAGCCTTTTCTTGGCATATGCTCAGCGTGGTTTAAAACTAAAATATAACTAAATTTTAGACTATGTTAAACCCCTTCACTAAAGCTTGACCACACTGACCTTTTTGGCTTAGTGCCAGTCCCTCAGTCAGGGCATATACTGAGCATATGCCCAAAATATAAACCTGCAAGATATCATTCACTGTATTATCAATATATATAATCAATATTTGCTAATTATATCAATAACACAAGCAGAATTTATAACATATTATGAATAATTCACTATTCTAATTAAGTAATCAAAATATTGGCTGTGTTTATACTTATTTTTTAGCTAATAAATCTAATCTTTCTTCTTCTCTTCCTTCTTCTCTCTTCAAACTCCTCTTCTTCAGGAATTCTATTAGGGCTACACCGTGTCTATTATGGTAATTAAGCCCTAGTATATATACTCAGTGTGGTCTAAAAATCTTCTAAGAGTCTCATCATAGTCTAAGAACACTGACTAATCACTTAGACCATGATGAGCCTTTTCTTGGCATAGGCTCAGCGTGGTCTAAAAAGGGCGGTGAATCTCGGGGCAGAATTTTAGACCACGCCGAGCTACCAGCCCACCTCGCTGTAACCCACAAACGGGTTGGAGTTGCTGACCCGTTACCGCAGATTTGCGGGTCGAAAAAATTAACCATCACCTGGCCCTCAAACCTGCATGGGTAACCCGCGGCCGTTTTTGCATAAATCTCCTGCACCTTTCCTAAAATAGGATGGATAAATTGATGAGTCAGTAGCATAATATTGTACTGTCACTAAATACACCTTAGCTTTAGCTATTTTTCTTAGGCATCCCCTTGTTAAATATAAGATATATAGTGTAGATATACAGTTTAGTATAATTATATTACAAATAAAAGAAGATAAGTCAGTATTGAGGTTTTTGTCTGTAATTATATATTTCGTAGTTGAATATATATTTTTTAATACTTAAGAGCAACACCACTTTTGATACAGTAAAAGAACTTTGATGAAAAATTTTAAAACCCCATCTTTTATTGGCTTAATAAGCTGAATAGATTAATAGCTATATTTTCTTTCTATATAAATAGACAAGTAGTTAGGGCCGCGCATTGCGCGGCCTGCGTACACTCAAACACAGATAACTAAATTCCTACTGGGTGAACTGAATAATCTGTTCGCCAGTTGTCACTAAAACTTCAAAAAAATAGGTAATGAAATACAGGACCTTCTTCTCTATATGTGGGAAGCTTTAAAGAAGCCTTCTAGGCGTTACTATAGAACATAAAACCAATAATATACTATACAGTACCTTAAACAATTTCCTCCTGGCTGTAGACCTTAGTATTGGAGGTCCTTAAACAACATACTGGCCGCGCTGCAGTCAGGAATCAGAGATTATCATTATCTTGGAGTTAAGAAGGCCAGTCAGATAAGGATACACAGTTATTCTTAGAAGTAAAGATATTGGTATTCTTCTTGTTTTTCTTTCTCTTATACTTACTATTAGATAGAGAATTTTCAGCAGGTCGCTTGCCTATCGCGATAGAAGATGGACCTGTAGATGATACAGGAGTAAAGAATATAGATATAGAAGCTGCAGTTTCTGAGCTTGTAGAAGCTGAAGATAGTGCTAAAGTATCTAAATTAATATTAGTATAGAGTTATAGTATAGCCTTAAATACTATATCTATAATAGGAATATCCGCTGAATCACTTGCTTAAGAAGATACAGGGATAGAAAGATTAAGCTAGACGCGCTGGAAAGAGAAGTTCTGTAAATTACTTTTCTTTATCACATGGAGATGTTGACGGCTGTTTAGGATAGATGGGGCAGTAGCAGCTGGGACAGTATCCCGGGATAACGAAAGATATAAAATATTTAGAAGACTTCCACAGATAATATAGCGATTCTTCCAGGAATAAAAGTCTATAAAATGACACGATACCTAGATAAAGCGCCTAACAGTAGGAAGGCAAGTGCAAGCCTAGCGCGGAGTTCCGGGAATAGCACAGGCAATATAGAAGGTAGACTTGTTAGGCCCAGCCCAAGAAACCCGGCCCAACCCGGCCCAACCCGCCAAGAAATGGGCTGGGTTTGTGTATACAAAAGTCCATGCCGGGCCGGGTTATTGACTACCCCGGCCCACGGGCCGACGGTTTAACCCACGGGTCATATACGGCAAGCCAGTGCAGCCAACTATGCAAATTGCGGAGATATATCGGACCGTATCTAATTCTTAATACCAAAGTAGTTTAGTGCGAATACAGATATTAAGGCAGAAGCTACTAAAGATATAAGTAAATAAAATTCTAACTAAGTTGGAATATATAACTCTAAAGGAAAAACACT